TAGCTAGAACGTTTACTAGGTATATACTGTAGCATAGCTGTTCTCCCTTTCGTACTGCTGGTGATTCGTCGATTGAAAAGCTCCTTTCTTGGGCAGTAATAAAACAGAAATTTGAGGTTCACAAAATCTATTAGTGGCTGAAATCTTTGTGCAAGACGATAGTTTTGGTTATAACGATTATGGAGTCTGTTATCACAAACAAGTCGGAGAAATTTCAAGACGTTTGAAAGCGGTTTCTTGAAAACATACACCTGAACCAAGGCGTTGACTGCTATACTGATTTTGTATTCCAGTACTCACTAATCGATACTTTTTGGATCAGACCCATATTAAAAATGACAGAAAGAAACCCTTTAAATTCAAACAACATAAGTTTTCCATTTCTCCTCCTACTAAGTTTTCTTGATTTCCTTCCAATATAGTGTCGAGCTGTGTTACACATATCATTGGCCACCCCATAACTGAAAATAAAAATAATAGATCTAAATATATGTATTGTGTTTGAAATTTTATTTATTAAGCTTATTGTCTGATTTAAAGATTGATTTGTTTCTACGGTATTTACTGTTCCAGTTGTGGTCACAATAATTTTAAGCACGCATGATTGTCACAGTGTTGTTAGAAACTGAATTTTCTTGAAGGTTATTTTCGTTTCAGCAATAGAGAGAGCTTTCTTGGTTCTTTAAAAGATGCCAAAATTGATTGGTTGATGGCTTTCAGTTTCATATACATCCAGTGACAGATATTTCATCCATGTCAGGACGAGAACCAATTAACAGTAAATACGATAGGTATGTCCTTCAAAAGAGGGGCGAAAGATACCAGAGGGACAATCAAACTCATAGATCGAAAATAAACTCACAACGCCAGGGCTATAAATTAAAAAGACAAACAGACAAATAATAGTACACAAGACACAACATAGAAGACTGAAGACTAAGCAACACGAACCCCACCAAAAACTGGGGGTGATCTCAGATGCTCCGGAAGGGTAAGCAGATCCTGCTCCACATGTGGCACCCGTCGTGTTGCTCATGTTATTGCAAGGAAGTGGATTGTAATTACGACATAAGGAACATATCCGATATCATCTGTGAAACGGTAATTCCATAACGGTCAACCAACTCGTGATGGCGTCCGTAAAATTTACGAAGGGATGATTTCAACTTCACCATTTGGAACTCTTGGTTTAATAGGTTTTTTGTGAGCAACAACCCTCTATCAAGGAAATCATGATAGGAAATACAAGCCCGGGAATATCGTATCAATTTGGAGATATATACTCCGTATGCAGGCGCTGCTAGAATGTTGCTACATAGAAATGGAATGTTCACAATTGGGAAGCTGAAATCATCTCTTTTGTCGTAAAGTTTTGTTTTCAACCGAACCTCATTGTCAATTTCTAGATGTAAGTCAAGATATGAAGAAGACTTAGCTATATCTGGTGTATCCTTTATCTCTAGTTCGATGGGATAGATGCGTTCAACATAGTCACCAAATTTTGAATAATGAGAACATGGAGAACATCATCTATATAGCGGAAAGTAAAGTTACAGGATATTACTAACTTCTTATATTTCTTCCTAAGAAGTTCGTGTATGAAGTCAGCCTCATAATAATAAAGAAACAAGTCGACAAGAAGAGGGGCACACTTGGTTCCCATTGGAATGCCGACAGTCTGTTGAAAAACACGTCCTCCAAACGTAACAAATATGTTGCCAATCAAGAAATCAAGCATCTTGATAATGTCAGTTTCAGATAATGTTTTGTTTGAATTAGAGTGATTCTTTACAAAGTACGATTTATCCCTCCCCAAGACAAGATACTTGTATCTACATTCGCCATTCTTTTATATGAAACAAAGCAATACCAACTCTTTCAATTTGTCTTTTAGTTTGGAATGGGGAATACTTGTGTAAAGTGTAGAAAAGTCAAATGTTTTAATACTATTGCAAGATGAGAAAGTCTTAGATTGTATGTACTCTAAAAGATCTTTGGAATATTTTAGTATCCACATCTGATTCACGCCACCTCTTCAAAGTATGAGTCGACAGGAACGCCAAGTGGAAATTTGAGCGACCGCAAAATTATATCATACGATATTGGATTGGAACAGAAATGTTGTATATCAAAAGGCCATGTACGGTCACACAGAAAGGGCAAACAAGATAAATAATAGAGAATAATTGGACTCAAATATAAAGAATAGAGAATAATGGACAGAACATATAAAGAATAGAGAAGTGAAGGATCCTTATCCAGACCCTCGTTAAATGGTCTTAGGACAATCAAAGACATCTTTGCTTTACTTCTTAATTCATGTCTCAGCACAGTCATCAAACCATCATTATATAATGTCCTATATGAAATGTCTTATGATACTTTCATTGACACTTCTAATACTTCATATTCCAATTTCTTTAAATTATAGATCTGCTGTGAACAAGCTGCGCGATTGCAAACATCTTGGAGCATCTAGTATCTGTGTGTCTAGCAGCAACGACCAAATATATTAATATATAGTGTATATATATATATATATGTACAGATGAAGTCTTAGTTTGTTTAATATCACTTTTAATTAAAATATTATTCACAGAGGAATTTGCTTCACTCAATGTTAAATTCTTTCCTCTTTTACTACTGTCCTAATTGAAAACGAACGTTGGTGGAATAATCCTTGAATGTTCCCCTTTCAAAATTATGTCCACCTTTTAACCAAGATGGACACTGTTATGTAAAATGAAATTGATACAATCATAGGTTTGTGACATATCATCAGACTTAAAATAGCAAAAACTGATAAGGCTTGTTGTCGTTTGATAATTTTGCATTCCAGCAATGACACCATTACTGAAAACAGAAAATATGTCAAACACTCGTTTAAAAAATCTTCTCCGCGAAACAACTTGGCCGAATAAACCAAACTTTAGTGGAATGGTTCTTAATAGGTCGGATTTCAGAATCATGTCTGATTATCTAACCTACCAATTAAACCTATAAATTTAATACGTACTATTTTTTTTTAGATTAAAAAAAATAAAAGTTCATGCGATACCTGAATTATGCATTTGCTTTGGTTTAATATGGATATTTAACATTTATTTAGAAATAAAATTTGATATATTTCTTCTATTTCACTCAATGTCATCATTATACCTTTTTCAATTGGATCTTCTTTTGATTACTTATCAAAATTATGTTTTGCAATGACAAATACAGCTGTTCTGGTGGTCCTTCAAACGCATTTCGAGAATTATACTGCATACAAAACTTTATTTAGATTCGGTATAAATCCAAACGACAAAATATAAATTCTACAGCGCTTTTAACCAAATACATACAAAAATATACAACAATATTAAAAGCATCATCATGCAAGCAAACAAAAAATAGAGAAACACACATAAAAGTAAGAACAACATAAGCATGGCAAAGCAAATTTTTCTTGCACTTTTTCATTTTGTTTTCAATGTTTTTTCTCTGTGTAGAATTGTGCCAATGGGCAAAAGTTGAAATTACTCAAAATAAATGAATGACAAAAGGTTAATTTACTCAGTTTGTTCCAAAACGTGCCTAACGTTTGAGGATATTCAGTTGCTGGGATTCCTTCCTGCAGATCTTACTTGTATGCACATCAAAATTTAGTTCATAGTATATAATTATACCAAGTAATTTAACAGTAGTTTCACATGAAGTTTCAGTGTTTTGAACAAGAATACAAAGATTTGTATTAAATGTATGTTTACCACCAACCAAAACTTCAAATTCATCAGGGTTTGCTTGCATCTTATCTACCCTGAACCAATTTATTAGTTGAGTTGACTCAGATTCCAATGTTGAAATGAAAGTATTATAATCAGTACTTCTGAAAAAAAGAGTATTATCATCTGCATAATTGTACACTGACCCCTTTTTGATAAGTACAAATGTATCATTTATAAAAATCGTTAAAAGGAGGAGCCCAATGATAGATCCTTAGGGAACCTCCTTCTAGATGTCAGCCCATCTGTTGCTCCCTATCTGATAAATATGATTTTAGAAGAGAAACCGAATAGCCAAAACGCCGCATGCCATCAATTTGTCATGTTGTAGGCAGTCAAAAGCCTTTGAAAGGGCCACCAAAACAGCAATATAATATAAAGGTTTTCATCATTGTTTTTATTTTATGCTTTAGATATGCTTTTATGATGGCATTTATCTGAATTTATATTAATATTATAGTTTACTATCAGTATAAGGAAACCTCTTGAAATAGTTGTTTTCGTTCATATACAAAATGTTAATTGTTTTATGCAGATAAAAAGAAAGAAACACCAATGACTTAATTTTTAAATTAAAATATTAAAAGAAATTAAAAGAAAGATACATCGTTAAATAGATATTATACAAAAAATCATTATTGTTCACGGTTATGATTTCAATCGACACACTAGTGTTAAATGTAACTTGAACGAAAATAATAAACGTTTTAGCTAAAGATAATTTACACCACCACCTTTCAATACTTCAATTAACTGATATCGTTATAAGTAGTGACCTATAAAACAACATTGTATCAGCTGTATATAAACATCCATGAGATATGATATTTACATGATAATCAAACATATTTATCATAGATAAACGTATTAAATTTCGCAAACGAATTGTACAACACGTACGTAATTGTAATTCAATTTTCAAATTTCAAATCAAAGTCACTTCAAATTAGAACATTAGAAAAAATAAATAGAATAGTCTGTTTGAAATAATGTTTCATTCTGAGATTACTTTGTGATAGTTTTCAAGAAAAATTTCGTAACTTCGTGTTTAACATTTCCGACATCTTTTAATTGATTAGAAATACATGTACCTGGTTATGGTTATCTGAGGGAACAACAAATGATGGCACAATCTTCTTCGAAGTCCTGTGATATATGCATGAATGGAGCAGGTAATAACTATTGTAAACAATGCGATCAATGGATGTGTGAAAATTGTAAAACTTTACATTTAAGGTCAAAAATATGTAGAAATCATTCTTTCCTCAGTGAGTCAAAAATCGTCCCGGAAGAAAGCCCGTTATGCAAAGAACACAACGAAAACTTCATATTCTACTGCGTTGACTGTGGCATACCAATCTGTAAAATGTGTATCGTCAAAAATCACAAAAATCATTATACGTCTGAAATCAACGAATCGACACAGGAATTACAGGTTGAAGTGAAAAAGTTCATGGACTCACGGATTAAATGTGTCAAAACAAATCTAGACAAAATTGAACAAGGCACAGTAAAGTACCAGAGCGACATAAACGAAGCTATTTGCGTTATTACAGAAGATGGGAAACAGATGAAGCAGTGGATTGACCAGAAAGTGAAAGCCCTCATAACATCATTGGAAGAAAAAGGGACAGCAAACCTGAAGGCCTTATCATTAATTAGAACTGATTTTCAAAATGATTTAGAAAAGTTCCAGAAATGTCAGACTGCCTTTACCGAGAGCCAGAAACTTGCCGATGTAACTAAACTTCTGACACAACTGAAACATATTAAATCAGAGTTAGACATTGCAGGTGAAAAACAGTCACCAGTCATGTCGACAGTAAAATATTACAAAAAGAATGTATCAGAACGAGAAATATTCATTCTATTTGGAGACCTATCATTCCGGTAAGTTATTAACTACAGAAAAGTGTTGTTATGTCAATAGATAATTTTTGCCCTTTTCGCCTGACTCATACTTAGCTCATTTACTAATGAAGGACTGATTTATACGTTGATTTGTTTTTTTGGTGGAAATTATACATTTGAAATTCTTGTTCTATCGTTACACATTAACTGTTGTGTGCACATGTTTGCAATTAAATGTCTGCTTCCATATTTTTCAAAGTGTGAATCAATACGAACAAAAATTATAGGGATACCTTCAGGTCATTACTCAAGAAAGTTAATGAATAAGAATAAGAATATTTATTGAATCCAATTAAAGGGCCCGTTTCCGAGCATATACATATATATATATAGTTTTAATTATACAGTAATTTTTAAGATATATTACCTTAAAAATAAATGATTAAATAACTATACTCCATACCAGATGGTGTTTGAAAATAAATAAAATAGAATATTAACCCTCTCTAATACATAAAAATGAATAAACTACTGTAACAGCACTACTACATGTATATTTAGTTAGTTACTGGAATGCAAATTTTCTCTTATTTCAAAACAAGTACTTATAAATCTTGACACTGACATATTAATAATATTAATGTGATTATGAATATTCAAAGAACCAAAAAACCTCCTACCAAAATGTATTTGTTGACCAAAGGCTCACTGTAAATTCAGTTGGTCTACAATAGAGATTTATTTCCAAACTTTGAGTTTAAGTTATACAGCATTTTGATTTAAAAAAAAAGGTTTTCTAAGCATTCAAAACTTCCTGCCAAAATGTATTTCATGACTTTTACATCGGTCAAATGTAACTTAGTATATTGTTATCTATTTGCTCAGCAAAATGTAAAATACCGAATTCCGAGGAAAATTTAAAACGGAAAGTCCCTAATCAAATGGCAAAATCAAAAGCTCAAACATATCAAACGAATGGATAACAACTGTCATATTCCTGACTAAGTACAGACATTTTCTTATGTAGAAAATGGCGGATCAAACTTTGTTTAATAGCTATCTAAACCAGTCACTTGTACGACAGTCACATACAATTACATTATATTGACAACGATATCTGAACAAAACAAACAGACATAATAGTTAGAAGGTCAAATTAGGAGTACAACAGTCAACATTGTGTTATATATATCTTAATCACTAAAAAAACAAACAAAGAAACACGAAAAGGCATAAAGACAAAGCACACTAACACAATCTTAAACCAAATAAAGGCAACAGTAGGATACCGCTGTTCCAAACTCATAAATCGATAGAGATAAAAACAAATCCGGGTTACAAACTAAAACTGAGGGAAACGCATCAAATATAAGAGGAGAACAACGACACAACAAAAACACAACATTAAAATGTAACACACACAGAAACGAACTATAATATAACAATGGCCATTTTCCTGACTTGGTACAGGACATTTTAAGAAAAAAAATGGTAGATTGAACCTGGTTTTGTGGCATGCCAAACCTCCCGCTTTAATGGCAACGTCAAACACAACACCAAAACGACAACATCACATGACAGGACCACAATACAAATAAATGGGAGAACATATAGGACAAAGAAACACACGAATAATAGCTAACAAAAGGTACTAGGCTTAAAATTCAATGCGCCAGACGTGCGTCTCGTCCACACAAGACCATCCAGTGACGCTCAGATGAAAAACGCTTGAAAGCCAAAACAAGTACAAAGCCGATGAGCACCGAGAACCAAAACTTCCAAAATGTTGCGTCTAACACGGCCAGGGTTTTCTGCCTGGGACAAGAACATCCTTATTATTTACAATAATTTATAATTTTGCAAACAGTAAATTTTATAAAATGACTATATAATAGATATACATGATTACACTGAAGTGGGGACTAACTTCAGAATAAAAACGGAAACATTACATAAAACAACTTAATCCAACATATAAAAATACACAACCGAGTTAGCCAAAAGAGACAAATATCAACAACTTTGAATTTGCGCTAAACAGACTTCTTATTCGTTTAATTTTCAGTCCTGTAAACATGTTTTTAGTTTTAACAATTCAGTATGTTTATACTACGAAGTTGTGAATTTCATATAATGTGCATTGTATTTAAACTTTTCTTTACAGATGAAATGAATTATATGGACATTCTATGTAAAACATCGTTTGACATTAAGCATAAATTATTGAACGAATATAGAAAACTCGGGTACATATTTCGGATATGTGCATTTATCGTTTTGTTTTCTTCGTGTCCAGTTTCATCAGTTTACATTTTCATATCTCTGATTTCAGAAAACAGTCAGAAAAGACACTGTTCAGATACCAATGTGACCATTGTTGGTAAGAATAACGTTTTATTTAGGATGAATGTGAACAAATGAAGAAATTTATATCAAATAACTCATTTATAATTGTGTATAATTCTAATCAACAAATGCGAAAGGAAAGAATATGATTTCGAAGATTATATTAATCCAAATCAAATTTAAATCTAACCCGAGAAAATTGATGATGAAATAAATCAAAATAATTTGAACCAGCAGCACTGACGAAATGGATTTGATTAACTATAGAAATAAAATTCGAATAAGATTACTTTAACAACAGATACTTTCATACTTTTTTTTTCAGGGAAGAAAGACTTTCTGAGTAGGTATTAGTAAATATCTTCAACAAGCTATTGAAAAAAAGATCATTTATCAATTGTGACTATGAAAATAAAAAAAAAATGTGTTTCATAAGTGTATTTAATCCATGATAGTACTAATTATTCATAGTTTTTCATTGATGTTTAGTCTTGTTTGTGTTGATAAAGACTTTGGAAATGTAAATACACATCTATCTTGCCTTAAGTTGATGAACACGTGTGGTTCAATTACTTTCTATCAGTTTATAAAGGACAAATGAAGACCGTATTTAGTCATACAGAAATCCAATCATAAAAAAATACAAATACTGAGGCTAAAATGATTTAAAGAACAGGTGTAAATTGAAATTGTAATTTATTTAGACGTGCTTCCTATTAAAGTAAGATGGCATGTGGCATATCATAAAATTAATAAAAATAAGTATCTGGTCCTACTGACGACCATCTGTTGACTAATTAAGGAAAGGTGATATTTTGAGGGGGGAAACCTATACACAATTTTTTTTTTATCAAGAAATGAAATAATGATCAACCAGAAAACAGCTTAGTATTACAGTTTCAAGTTAATTTGGGAAAAGTATAGTGGATAAAATATCAAAATAAAGATAACATAACTAGCTCATAAGTAAATAACATGTACTTTTTAAAAGTATTTCAATTGTAGCTGAGTCAATTAATTTAGCATTTTCATTTATAGAAACAACCCTACAAGGTGAGTATACATTCATATTACTTTCATAAACTAGTATTCAAAACCTTTTAATTAAGTTCATTCATATAATTGACTATGAAACCTTCAATTCCGATTTAAAAAAAGGGTTCTTCTGTAAAGGTGCCTAGCCGTTTATCTAAGTCGAAAATAAATTGACAACGCCATAGCTAAAAAATTTATAAAAAAAAACAGACACACAATACAAAACTTAAGACTGAGAAACACGAATCCCGCCAAAAAACTGGGGGTGATCTTAGGTGCTGCGGAAGGGTCAGCAGATCAAGCTCCACATCTAACACGTCGTGTTGCTCATGGCAGTACAAAACCGGTAATTACTATAATTATGTAAGTCACATTCGGGAGGAAAGGGACTGGATTGTTTTTACGACATTTGGAACAAATTCGCAATCATCTGTGAAATGATTTCATAACGTTAAACCAACTCGTGAGGGCGTCTGTAAAATTAACGGAGGGATAATTTCTCAACATCACTACTTGGAACTTTCGGTTTATAGCTTCCTTGTGGGCAACAACCCTCTATCATGAAAATAATGTTAGAGAATAAAAGCCTTGAAATATCGTATCAACTGGGAGATATATATACATGTATTCCGTATACAGGCGCTTTGGGAATGCTGCTACATAGAATTGGAAGGTTTACAAATTTGAACCTGAAATCTTTCATTTTGTCGTTAAGTTTTATTTTCAATTAACCTATCAATTTTGGATAGTAAGACGAAGTTAGACAAGATATGAGGCATACTTAACTGTCACCAAATTTTGAAATATTTAGTGAGAGAACATCATGAATATCATGTTTATGGTGGAAAGTAAAGTTAAAGGTACTGCACACATCTTATTTTTCTTCCTCAGAAGTTTGTGTATTAAGTCAGCCTAAAAGGAATAAAGGAACAAGTTGACAAGAAGGGGACATAGTTAGTTCCCATGGGCATGCCGATTGCTTGTTAAAACATGTCCTCCAAACGGAACAAAGATGTTGTCCATCAAGAAATCAACCATTTCTATAATGCTCATTTCAGATAATTTTTAGTTAGAATCAGAAGGATTTATCCATTGATCATGTAGATTTGAATATAACACTCGAACCTAAAATTAAGAACATAATAATGCATACATTATTCCTATTGATCTATAATTTGCTGAAGTTATTCTGATTGGTTTAAACGCCTGGTACCTCGCCATTTTTTTCGTGCTTTCATATATTAAAGCAAAACAGCGCTCCCGGTTTGAAAACCAAACAACTTGTACATTCTTGTGTTTAAGGTGATTTTTTTTAATCTAAATAATAAAATTTGGACAATAAAAATGCTTTTGAAAATTCGTATATTTCAAATTGCTAGGTTATTGTTATGGTTAATCAAACCTTTAATGGTTTATATTTCGGGCATAATTGGGAAACACGTCGTTGTGTATTTGTGGGTAATTTTTATGTTTAAAGGAATTTCCAAGCAATACATTATCAATTGTTTATCACGTCGGTCTTTCAATTATACTATATGACTTATAATCAAATGAAAAACCTATTTTGTAAGTTTTGTGATGAATTTGACTCTGCAATTCATGTCACTTCATTACCCATGATTTAAAGTAATCATATTATATATTTTTGGTAACTACAAAAGAGATATAGATAGTATTTAAAAATCAGATTTTTATTTGAACGTTCATACTCAGATGAAACTCGATATTATATATATATATATTCTAGATACCCTTTTTTATTATATGTTTCATCTTGTGCTAGTTTTTATTTCGCAGGAGGTTTTGTGGCATTACCACTTCATGTTTTATTGCCTTTCAATTGTGTGCTTTGTTAACATGGTTATATTTTGCCATTTTAATTCCAACATATGCATCATACTATCAGAATAGAAAAAAAAGTCGATAAATATATTCGTGGCAACAGCTTATATAAATAGTTTTTTTTTGACAGGTTTTAAATGAACTTTTTGAACATGTTGAATGTAAAACGATCAATAGTTTGATGCTTAAGTTTAGTGACAGAACATTTTATCTTTTATATATAGTTTAATGGACGACCAAATTATGTTCAAAATACAATGAATGTATGTTTCGTTGTTATATTACGTATTTGAAAAGAAGCTCACAATTTGTTCACATAATTTGATCGTGCTGTGTGTGTCTTTTTACGATTTTAGATTTACTAATTGAGAACTTAGTATACGATTTTATTTATTGTAGAAGATTGTATGTTGATGTCGTACACAATACTTGTGTAATGTTTATACTTAAACTTAAAAAAAAAATCATACGCAAGATAAGAACGACACATACATTCAGTGTAATTTTAACATTATTTTGTCGTACATAAAACTGAACTTTAATGCAACCTTTTTCTTTCTGCACTTATTGTGCAGAAGCTAATTGAAAACCCGCAAACAAACGTTAAATTTATCTAACCGATGAGTACATGTATGTGTAAAACAACAATATTGAATGTTATTATTTTCCAAACTGAACAGGCGCATAGGTAAGCACGGATTTCACATATAAATAAAAACGTTCAAATTATGAATAATTATTTTAAAAAGGACTACATTTCTATAAATTAAGACTAATTGATTTATTGTTGGTATTTAACGCCACTTTTATTTGCCACTTTTGGGCTATATCATGGCGGTCAGTTTTTTTTTTTCGGAGGAAGCCAGAGTGCCCGGAGAAAACCTCTGACCTTCGAAAGGGAAACTGACAATCCTAGTCAATTAAGATAGGAGTCGAGTGAACCCGCACGGGTGGAGTTCTAGCTCACAACCTTGGAAAAAATAAGATGAAAACTGATCCCCACGCACAGTACCACTAAGATAATGTCATTGTTAACTTATTCATCCCAAAAAATACCTTTAAAACCTATTCCACGAAGATTTTTAACATAGTTATGTTGTATTTTACAGTTGGCCAATACATGGACGATTTTTGTAAGTTTGTATGTATACACACTAACGAAGTATTTTTCATACAATGTTCCATAGTTGGATATTAAACCAATAAAACACAAAATCAAATTCAGCAATAACTTGAATTTTATGTCAATCAACCTTGACCACTTAATTCAAAAAATGATCAGACAATACGTAAAATTTTATAACCTATATTATTTGGTTCTGCTCATTTCATTATAGACACAGTTTAAGACGGAATCTTGAAAATGAGTCACACACTTATCATCTAGTTTTGAAAATTGTAAAAAGTTGATCACGGATGAAGATGATATGATTTAACATAGAAAAAAAAAAAACGTAAATAATAAACAGAAAATACAAAACTAGTTTAGGTATATTTACCTAAGTGGTACTGAACTTATGTAATTTTCATTAGACAATTTAAAAACAAGGTTCCATAAGAGGTAAGTCATAATATGAGGCACGATAAGAACGCTTTGAGACGTTAACTTAAAAAGGAGAAAATACATTTGTACAAAGGGATTTTTTCAGTAAAAATATATGAGTATGTATATCTTCATGGTCAAAGCCTAAATGATAGATATGAATGAAATATTAAATTGTGTAACTCTATAATACGTAATTTCAGTAATGCATTATGGTGTGAATACAACATTTTATCTCAATTTGTCTTTTTAACAACGCTACATGTATATTTTAGCATGTGCAAAAACTGTCGGTGAGTGTGTTTTATGTTTACATCACCTTTTCTTTCTGATGATTTATCTTTGTTTTTGTTTTTGATATTGCTAAAATAAATTCAAAGTTATCACAGAAATAAGAAGATGTGAAATGAGTGCCAATGAAACAACTCTCCATCTAAGTCACATTGTGTAAAAAGAAAACAGTCAGAGGTTTAAGTACAGATTTCAACACGGATGCTTGGTTAACACCGATCGCAAGCGAAAAAAAGGGTCCCAAAATATGACTAGTGTAAAATATTTAAAACCGGAAAACCAAAGTCTTATCTATATAAAAAAAGAGAAACGAGAAACACTTATGAAACACACCAACAAACGACAACCACTGAACAACAGGTTCATATCTCGTTGTATTGAATCAAATAATCCCCGAATGATTGATCTAGTTTTTGCATTTCAAGTATAACGTCATATGTCATGTTTCGGTGACAAACTTTAACATCGAACATTTTAAATTTTTTCGTACTCAGAATATAAGATTTGACAAAAAAGAAGATTTTCAGGCGAAAAGTGTGAGTGTGTTGTATATTATTGAAGAAATTAAATATGTCCGCTACAATGGTCAGAATGTATATCGTCTTAATCTTTGAAAGCAATCAATGACACAACGAATAACCTATGATGCTGAATAAGCCAATAAAATTATCGCAGATTTTCGTATCACTATTTATCATATAACACTTCGTGCCGTGTGATACGAGAAATATCTCTGCAATCAAGAAAAAGATAGCAGGCCGCAACCATACGAGAAATAACAATTTCAGAATGCGCTGACAATACAATACACACTAACTTCGGGTAATAGCATTCAAGCATTGTGCGCAGGGCGAATTATTTCACATTATATGTATACATGTTATATGAATACCCCATGTATGTGAAACCAAACAAACTTAGTTTGATTGAAAGAAATGCAGTCATACATTTACTATGCAGATTTCAGTTTCATTCTGTCGGTATGTATAGAACAACCAATCAGTCAATATAACCATGTTAAAAAAATAAAGTGTACATGTACTTCATAAAAACAGCAAACACATACCAGATGGTCTTAATGGAAAATACATTATGGATTGATGAAATGGACTTTACAATTTTATTTTCATAAAACAGTTGATAGACCACTGTAAATACCAACTACATATCTAAACGCTTTATTGGTTGTAGACAAAACGCATGGACAATTATTGAAAATGATGCCATTTAAGCTATTTGTTTAATAAATAACAAAAACACAAGAACATTTTTAAATATCGAACCAAACATTCCAAAAAAAGCATTTCATTTTAGCATGTCATATGTATTACAACAGGACAGCACCAAGCAGCAACTGTCGTTGTCTATAAATGCAACTTTTCTGCTGGTAATTGGCGATATTTGTTTTTTGCTTTTGGTAGATTATCTGCATAACTCACAAGAAAAGTTGATTTTAAATGTTTAACAAAATATCAATATTAATAGATAGTATGTATGTATGTACTACTATGTAATCATATCTTTCAGATTTCTAAGGTGGTTTTTTCTCAAAGAAGAGAAGTAACAGAAAACTTAAGAAACAACGCATATATACATAACAATTAAATTCATTATTCTATTTCGACTATGCTGAAAATGCTGATCAATTTGATGGCATTTGAATCTTTATTGTAGTATATCTTTGTACAAGCTTCACAAACACTGTTTAATCATGCAATACATTTGACTTGTTTAGTCTCAATCGGTTATCAACTATTTCCCATTGAGAGACATTTAAAACGTTTAAAACTATTATTTTGACGTAATAAATGATAACAATTTATGAATTTATTCAATTAAAATATAATTTCTTTTTGTTTATGAAAGTAATCATAACCCTTCTCACTTTGCCGCGATTATTTTTTGAAATAATATACCAATATAATAATTTCAAGTGAAATTATTTAAAGGAGGTTAGTAACAATTCGTATGTTGAAGAAGATATGACCATTGCAAAATGCGACAAAAGAATAAAGGGTCCAAACAATTAGCTCCTACGAAAAAACTAAGAGTGGACTCAGGATATTACAAAGAGTATGCAGCTGCTGCACTTGCCGTTGCATTGGTTCTTATACTCATGCCAAATAATTAGGGAAATACAACAACAGATTCCCTTAATATCGGTATTTGTGTTCCATAATGATAGACCTCATTCATCATTAACCAATAATGTCATTTCACACGACCCGTGAGAGGTTTAGCTAGCTATAAAACCAGGTTTAATCCACATTTTTCTGCATAAGGAAAGGCCTGTACCAAGTCAGAAATATGACAGTTGTTTTCCACTCGTTTGAGGTTTTTGGGCTTTTGATTTTGCCATTTGATAGGGGACTTTCAAATTTAATTTTCGTTAGATTTCAGAAATTTTGTTATTTCACTTTTTCAGAGTTCACCTGACCTTGACCTCTTTTCCAGGGTTCATTTGACAACATTACCCTTAAATTCATACCTTTAATTATTCCACAGTAATAAAACGCTTTTAATGAAAAGCAGTAGACTATTATTGTCTCTATCATATTTACAAATCATGTGTTTCTACAATGCAACAGAGGTATGAAACTAATATAGAAATCAAGGAAAACATAAATTTCAACCCACTGCAGAATACAAGTTGATTTTCCTAGAATAACTGAAATATAATTATGTATATGTGCCAGCATTAACGAATGAATAAACACTAACCATATATCAGTTGTAATTTTCCGTATATCAATACATTATCAACTGACAACAGAGTACTGATATTTAACAAATGTTGTTAGTTTTCATTTTATAAGTACAAGATATAAATGTGATACAAACATGAAGACTGCAGTATACGTTACCAGTATCAATTAAACTCAGATTTCAGTATTGTATCCTATCCGCATCATGATGTTATTTGACACTCTCAAACTATGTCCAGACGAAAACAAATTGTCACCAATGCTTTACAAGATCGCATACTATCAACACAGTGTAAAACATGAAAGTATCAAATGCATCATGTATGTTCAAGATATTCTAAACATGTGCGGATTTTCAAATACTTTCCAACTACAAAATACACATTTACCAAATTTGCTTAACCGGAACATCAAAATGAGGCTAATTAATCAATACAAACACACGTGGTACTCGTCAATAAAAACACTCCCCAAAATGCAGGAATTATAAACTGTTACAAAAACATTGGACTTTTAGAACTACCTGAATATTCTTGATGACCGATATGTGTTTACTTTATGTAAATAGAGAGCAGGTAACCATGAGTTGCCTATAAAAAAAGGGAGATGGCATAGCATTGCCTGCAATGAACGGACATGTGCGTTGTGAAGTTCCGGTGATAAAAGCGACGAATTTCATTATTTGTTTTGCTGTTCGCTATTAAAGAACGAACGAAAATCATTTCTACAAAATAAATTGTCATATAGTCCAAATATAATGTCAAATTGCTCACTGTTTAATACTAACAAGCAATCAGTTTTAAAAAAAAACTGTGTTTATTTGATATTATTTAGTATATAACTGTATTAATAAAAAAGTTAGTCCCTCCATGTAAATGTAAACGCATAAGCATCGTACTGATATCTTTCTATGTAGTTTTACCTTTTAGTTTACATGGTACTAAACATGTATGCCATCATAATTTTGTACTTCATTTTACAAATATCGCACTGCATTTGTTTATCTCAAATATTGTATTTGTATTTATTTGTAAATTTCACTGTAAACTTGTATTTAGTTTTTAAGAAATAAATAGATATAAGAAGATGTGGTATCAGTGCCAATGAGACAACTCTTCATCCAAATCACAGTTTTTAAAAAGTAAACCAGTATATGTCAAAGTACGGTCTTCAACACGGAGCCTTGGTGTAAAACAATTCAAACAGGAAAACCAACGGTCTAATCTATATAAAAAACGAGAAACGATAAACACTTATGAACCACATCAACAAACGACAACCACTGAACATCAGGTTCCTGACTTAGGACAAGTGCAAACACAAAGTATATATATATATATATATATATCTATTAATAGGAATTATCATTTAAATACAATGACTACACATACTCAAGATATAAACGTTGACTAATAGTTTAAACATATTTTATTGTTCAAAAAGGGCAAATGGATTATACACAAGTTTTTCAACTAAGTAACGTCTTCTCCAATACATACATAAATATAAACATGAACGAACATTACATATATCTGATTTGATTTGATTTGATTTTTGGTGTTTAACGCCACTTTTAAGCACCGCTTTTGTGCCATTTCGTGGCGGCCAGTTTTTATTGGTGGAGGAAGCCGGAGTACCCGGAGAAAACTACCGACCTTCGATAGGAAAACTGACAATCCTAGTCAATTAAGATTGGAGTCGAGTGCACCCGCACGAGCGGGGTTCGAACTCACAACCTCAGTGTTGACTGGCTAGTGATTACAGTAGTAACTACTTAGACCACTCGGCCACCGAGGCCCCTACATATATCTGATGTTAACCAATTATTATTTTAGCATGAAGATATGAAAATAAATTACACAGTAGAAATTTGAAGAATCGAATCAATGGATATTTTCCACTAAATATAACGAATCGAGTGCGTCTATTTTTAGAATAAATAAATACAAACCCACCGAGCTGTGTAAAATAAAAATATGTTAGTGTACATGACAAGTCATATGTGTGAATTGGTTTAAATGCAAATTACACACTCATAGTTAATGATGGGATACATATTCAATCGCTTTTCTTGTTACGGATTAATTTGAAAAACGGAATAAATCTACACATAATGGTAAGTACCAATTGTGTTTCTTTAATTAAATCTATTGAAATGTCTCAGATAACAATAGTCAATCATAATGATCATTCGATTATCGGATTTCTAAGAGCATAAGTTGATCATGTTCAAGTAAGATCTGTTACAGAAATAAGATTGTCAAAGTTGAGAAAAACGCTTGGTACTTTTTATATACTTTTGTACAGATAGAAAAACACTATCATTTTCGTCAGAACTCAAAGACTCATCACCAGATAGCAATAAATCAATTGTAATATTGACAACAAACACATTGATTTCATTTATCACAAAAAGCCTTTGTGCTGAAAAATTGTTACAATATAATAAATAATGTTTGGCATCTTCATTGATAAAGCCACATAAACAATTGCCATCTTGTACTAAGTTTGCATTAAACAAATCAGATTGAAGCGGTCTCCAGGGTAAAAATGTCTCGGAGGTTTTTTATTCTGATAGTATAACATATGCAATTTGCTTTTAAGGTAGATGGGGTGTCTAAATTATAATCCATAGAATTATTTAATAATTTATCAAAATGTAGTTTATATCATGCTTTTTTGAAAAAAAAATTAAAAAGAATGGGTCACGGGGCTTATTTTTACGCTACAGGTTGTGCAAAACTGACAGATTTTGTATAGATTATGCATGGAAAACGCAATTTTCTTCCATAAAACTAAAACTACACCATAGAGTTTCGAGATAAAATATGAGAAGAAAGCTCTAATATTATACTTTCAGATAAGAAAAAGAAAAAATGGGGTCACGGGACCCGTTTTCTTGCTACATAATAGAATAGGTATATTCCTAACACATCCTATTGTTAAAATAACTTTATCTGAATTATCTGCCCTTACCTTTGAGTTGCCTCCCCTTATTTGGCAAAGTTGGAAAAAATTGATTCAAACAAAAGTATTCTGGTTTTTTTGTAAAATACAACCATAAATATAATAAAACATGTCATTTTCTATATTAAATTCTTACATATGAATTATCCACTACTCTCAAAATTTGCACATTTTATTAAAGATTTAGACCGATTATTTTCTGGTATTTCAAAATCCAAGATGGAGGAAGACACCCTGAAATAATGAAAATGTAGGAATCGGTCTAATAATAATGTCTAAAGTGTTCCACAATATTATGGATGCTGGGAAATAAAACTGTTGATAAACCGATAAACGATTGACTGGAATAATGATATTGTGTCTGTTTCGTAGATTATAATTACTAATATCAGATACAAATTCTGGAACCAAATCATGTAGATAATCTGGAGCCTGATTGTTAATAATTTTGTAAAACATGGACATCTTTTTTACCTCCCGCCTTACGCTTAAATTTTTCCATCCCGTCACCCTGTAAATAGCGTTGTGGCTAGCATAACTTGGTAATCCAGTAACTATACGAGCAGCCTCGATTTGAATATTTTCTAACCGATCAGAATTTATTTTCCAACAATTATCCCAAACTTCTGATGAATACTCAAGTATCGGACGAATAAAAATCATATAATTTTTTTCCCTTTTTAGTCGAAATTTTAGTTTGCGTAAAACATTTAGCTAATTCGTAGTTATCTCAATCGCTTTATCAACATGCTTATTCCATTTACAATCATTACTAAATATGACACTTAGATGTTTGTGCGCACTAACTGGTGTTAATGTAGCACCATTAAAAATAAAACTAATATCACTGTATATAATTTTTAAACTGAATATCATAATATTTGTTTTATTAGGATTTAACTTCACTAGTCATTTTTCTGACCACTTACTTAAATAATCAAGATCTCTACTAATTGAATTTTTCAAAGTGAATTCATCAGGTGAAGTATGACCTATTGAAGTATCATCTGCAAAAAGCCTTCCAAATCAAGACATACCACCAGTTATATCATTAATGTATATTAAAAACAACACGGGTCCTAAAACCGATCCCTGAGGCACACCAGCGTTTAGTTTTCCAAGATCTGAGAATGAATCTTTTATGACAACT